AGGCACACGACTCCTCACATGAGAGGACTCTCAAGACAGAACACACATCCTCACTGGCAGGGGACGACCTCCGAAGCCGAAATTGCAGTACCGTGTGCATTTCAAACATCACACGGATCCGGAGGACAGGTGGTTCACAAGAGAGGAACTGATGCAGACAGCTCCTCAGAATGTCACTCTATGAGAAGTCGTTGTAGAAGGGAAAGCGCCCGATTGAGTGATTGAACTTCTCAGAGGACTGTCGAAGTATGGATGAGGGAATGCGAGGCCACAGCGCGCTCTGAGCATCCTGGGCCTCTCAGCAAGGGTGGCCGCTCTAAGTGAAGGCGGCCCTGTAAAATCACATGAGGCCTACTTCGTCCTTTCTCTCTAAGTGGGGCTCAGACAGTTATGATGCCTCAGTTGGTTGAATGGACGCAGGCCGTGGTAACAGTATCCTGTCCAGGGCTTCCAGGCCCTTCCTATGTTTTTGGGGACAGGCCCTGGGGCAGACGGGGGCACAAACTGCACGCAGCACGCTTGGTGAGACACGCATAACCACCCGGGGCCCTGCGGAATATTCTGGCCTCAGCCACTTGGGGCCTACCGGAAGCTTCTGGGTTGGGCCCCAGTGCAGCCAAGCAGCATGCAGCACGCTGGCCACTTCCATAAAGGAAAGTGCCTGCCTCCGCATTGGATTTTTGGGCACTCGCTGCGCAAGCGCTGCTGCACCAGCTGCTGGAGCGAGAGCCTGCGCATAGCTGGATGGGGCCCATGGTGGTCCTTGGGTGCACGTGGCATCTGTGTGGGGGATCGAGGTTGCGAGTGAAGCGTGAGACATACCTGGTGCTTGAGGCGAACGGCATTGGCCGAGATCTGCTCGTACTTCGGGAAGCTGTTGACGTCACCAGCTGCATTGTAGATAGGCTAGATAGGATCTGCCATTCGTAGTCTGGGCGCTGAGCGCCAGATAGGATTCGACATTGGTTCATTGTTGATGATGATGAGACTATTTGGTGGAACTCGAGTTGCAATTCTGCTTTTGGTTTGAGGTCAAGACTATCTGGTGTCATGTGTATGATGCTGCTTGGTTTCTGGAATTGGCTATCGCTCATTTTCCTTGCACATTAATTTTTTCCCTTATTTATCTTTTTGCTGAGTCTTGCTGTCGTTTTTTGATTCAGCATTTATTTATTTCTTTATTTTGTAATGGCCCGCCATAACACAGACTGAGAACACTGCTGATTTCTGAAGTTCTGCCCATGGAATGGATGCCTTGCTAAGATTCCCGCATTCTGCTGAGTTTTGTAAGTCTGTATGTGTGCGTGCTTGTTGACCTTCGTGCCTGTCTGAGTGCTTGTCGGCATGAGTGTGTGTGACCCGCAAGGGTACTTGCTTGTTTGGGAGGCCTGTAGGGCCAGTGCTTACCTGTGGCCGTGATATTGAGGGTTGCAGCAGGGAAAAAACACTGAAGTAGCAGGTAGGCCGGTACCGCACCCTGTAGAAGTAGATGTGTCGGGTACTCGAGGGCGAGCAGAAGAAGCCAAAGTTGGCATTTTTAGAGGCCCAGTAGCAGCAGGCTAGGTCTAGGCCGGTACCAGTCCATCCAGTCTGAGTCTAGGGCCTGTACGGGCAATATCAGAGCCTGCAATGATGTTTCCCTCCGAAAGGGAGGAGGTACTGGTTGCTTGTGTGGCATACTGCGCAGCCACACGGGCCTGCAGGGCCCGACCAGATGGAAAATAAGGGCCTACAGGCCCTGCGTCGTTTCAGCCAAAAGCCTAAAAACGAGGGCCGTTTTCAGGCCCTCATAAAGTTGAGCTGCCCTGATACTTACGCGCCAGACCAGGGTTTAGCACAAGCCATTTTTGGGCCTGTTTCAAGACAACCTTTGTTTGAACTTCAACGCGAGGGTCTGGCACGTTTCGGCATTGGCAAGAGAAGCCTCCCGGACAGGCCAGCACTATATAGAACTGGCCCGCCCTGCAGGCTGCAGGTAGCTCATAGGGACTTCCCAGGTAGTTCACAAGCACTTCACGTGCAGGAGGCAGGAGGCACAGGATTTTGCAGCAGCACTCCGGAGGGGGCTGCAGTAGTAGTAGTAGCGTTAGGAGTAGCCTTCAGCGCTGGGCGCTATTAGGAGCTAGAGTAGCGTTGGAGAGAGAGAGAGAGGGTGGCGGAGGCCAGGGAGACTTACCTGTGGCGCCATAGCTCCAGCTTCGTCTTCGATGTACCTGCAACAAGGTGCCACCTTCACAGGTTAGTACCGGACTGAGAGAGAGAGAGAGTTCTTCTTCTTCATCTTCTAAGTCCACCATCTCTCCCTCACCCTCTCGCTACCTGACCTCCCAGTATCTGCAGACTACTACTACTACTACTACTACTACTACTACGAGAAAAAGAGAGAGAGAGAGAGAGAGAGAGAGAGAGAGAGAGAGAGAGAGATTGGTGACTTTGGGACTTTACGACATTTGGATTAAGACTCGACTTTGGGATTGAGACATTGGACGAGGGATTATTTGGGACTTGTATCGAAGACTTGGTGTTGACGACATTCCCATTTTCCCCCTCTTTTTCGTCTAACCCCCCTCGTCGGTGTATGGTTGGGGTCTGGCACATTCTTCCTGTG